AAAACAAGTTTTTCTCTATTTTAGGTTTGCCCTAGGTTTTGCCTAGAAGGTGTATTTATTTACCTCCACATTCTATCAGCACATTAAATAAACTAACTTTCAATATTCAGGGTATTTAATGTAGTAAGTATAGGAAATCAAAATGGGATAGAGGAGATAATGAGAGAAACCTGTATTCCTTAAATAAGGAATAGCTTTGTATATGACTGTTATAACATACAGAGCTCACAGTTTCTGATCTAAATTCTCTTACATCCATTTGGAGTTCAGCCAAATCCAAAAGGCCTTTAAATTGGGAAACATGAAGAGAACTCATCAGTGCTATAAATGTATAGGCAGTTTGGTGTTTCCTTCCCCCCTCTCCTCTCCTCTCCCAACACACACACACACACACACACACACACACACACACACACACACACACTTTTCAGGTTTTAATAGAAACCTCACATCATAATTAGAAAAATGAAATTCCTGCCATTCACAATATATAGCTTGGACAGATTAAAGGGAAGAGGTGTGAGAGATGATAATTGCTTTGTGCTCATCAGGCCTCTATTGAAAACCTGACAGGATAATTACAAAATATCTGCCTTACTGAAAGTCTAGGCAAATTTTTGAAGAGCTATTTAAAGGTGTTCATTTACTCTCTGGTTGAAAAGAAAAAAAGTTTTTTGTTTCCTTTTAAAATGGTTCATTATCATTTAAATGTGCTGTATATGTTCAAGTACAGTGTTCAGTCTCATGAACATGCATGGTTGCATTCCTCTCCCCACCCTCAAAGAAAATTGTCCATCATTTTTTGAGTTAACCCCCCACATACATTTAACTCTCTTCTCTGTCAGCATAACATTATTTTGACAACCAGAAGCTATAACCTTGATACTTTCAGCAATTTGAATCATATTCCTAGGCAATTTAATTGAGGAATGAAGTCCTGGTGGACTACAAAATATAGTCTCACAAAATGCATTTTAATTGGCAGAACAAACTGGAGTCCTAGCTGTAGCTTGATGGCATTTTTCTGCCTATTTGCATGTGTGATAACTTTTGAAAACCACATCCAATGGATTCTATAGCTTCAGAGAGTATTCTAGGTGGTAATGGTATAGACTATAGTAGGCCTTCAGCTGCTTAATGCCAATGTGGTGTAGCATTTTCTTGCATTCTGTTGACCAAAGTTTGGCTAAGAAAGAGGCTAAGAAAATGATCAGGCCAAGGACATTGCAAGGTGTGAACCATTTTAGAAATTTCAAGAAAGATGGAATGGAAAAAAGCTAACCTATGGATCTTGATAAAAGTCACTTAAAGTATATTTAGTGATTAGACAAGGCTAATTTTAGACAAGATGAGTGCATCTACAAGAGATGCTTACTGCATGTAGCCTAATAATGCTGCGCAGTAGCATGCTGGTCAAAAACCATATACAACTGCACCATAATAAAACTGCACAGTGTTATTAGGCTACTGCACAGTAAGCATCACAAAAAACACATGTGCTGGTGCTACTGTACAGAAGCACAAGTTACTGTGCATTGAATTAGTACTTGCTTAACCAAGTACTAAACTTAATATGCAGTAACTAGAGTGCATTAATGAGCCTGTAGACATGCCTGATATAGCTTAGATAGGGAATGAATAAGCATATGAATATTAATCAGAGTAGCACCTATAGGCATACACACACACACACACACACACACAAACATATATGGCTTACTTAGTAAGTGTGTGTGTGTGTGTGTGTGTGTGTGTGTGTAATATTTACCTTATTTAGTAAGTTTGGGTATATTAGTAAAGCTTTTTGATATATTAGATACAAATCTGGGTTCATCTTGGAACCTATGCTCTTCAGTCTTACACAGATCTTGCTGTATAAGAGGCGTGGGGATGGGGGCTCATTCTTGCTGAATGAACTAAGAAAAGTGCTCTTTTAAAACTTAATATGAAACCCAGGTGAGAAGTCATTTTCCATAACAGGCTGGCCACTTGTTAAAGGCTTTCTGAGGCTAAATACAGACAATCAAAAAGCCTGAAGCTGAATTGATTTAATCTGCACAGTCTAAGCTGTGTAGATTAAACCAATAAGCAAGTGAACAGACATTCACTTTTGATTCTGGACGTGCAGCCACATGCCTACAGTGGCCCAGACCAGAAGCTGGAGCAGAGGGGGGGCGGGGGAGGCAGGACTAGAGCACGCCTCCTTGCTCGGCTGGAGCAGACAACTTGGGCCAAGGCTAGCCCACCAACGCTGCAAGGTGGGGGGAAGTGCAAAGCATCCTGGGATGCTGGCGGACTGTGAGTTAACTTGAATCTGGAAGGGATCTGGAACAGAAGTTGAATAAACTGATTTAACCTGAATCAGTTAAGTCTGATACTACAGCCATCTATGTTTATCTTAAACCAGTTTTGGCCATTCTGAGAGCAGTTTATGTGCACTGAGCTTCTGTTGTGTTACAGATTTGAACCAGATTCCGGTCACTAGTTATACTAGCCTGAGACTTTAGGACTTGGAGAAATGAATTATAGAGTCTCTCAAGTGTTAAAAAGATTATTTCTTTAGATAAACGCACATTTTATAAATTTTAATAATTTGCTTGATATTCTTTATCTGTACTGTTTAGCCATTTAGATTTGTTCTGTATTTTATTATTGAATTTGTTTTTAAAAATTTGCTCATGTTTGCATCAGGAGAACAGAGTCAGTCTGGATACAGAGGTCTGGCAGTAATCACAGGGTTAAGATGAGGGTTAGGGGTACTTGAATCACTTGCCATGTTTTCACCAGGCTCTCCAACTTTGGACAGCCATCTAGTTAGTTGTGGCCAGAACTGGAGTGAGGACAAGGCTGGGAGACTGTTCAGAAGCAAGGGTAAGTGGGGGCCTGTCTGAATGAACAGCTCTGCCTACATAAATAAATCACAGCCCTCTGGCAACAGTCCTTTTTAAGCTTATGTTCAACTCCTCAGGTTAAAGGTATAAGTGCTAAGGGTGCACTGATAAAGATTTTTTGGGCCAATACCAATGGCCAATTATTGACCAGTCATCTTGGCCAGTACCAATCTGATCAATGATATGCAGCCCGGCAGCTTGGAGAGCAGCATCCAGCTGATAATTCTATTGTGGGGAAGGGGCAGGGGGGAGGGAAAAGGTATTAGGGGGCAGATCGAGGCTCCCCTGGTGAGGGAGGGAGTGAGGCTGAGCCTGGGGCAAGGGCAGGGACAGGCACTACACAGCCAGTGCAGGGCACAGAACAGAGCCTCAGCTCATCCAGGGGATGCAGGGGGGCGGGAAGGGGGAAGGTGGTTTCTGCCGCTGCAAGCATCACGGTGGGGGGGGGGCATGTGCCCCCTGGATCTGTGTGTGAGGTGAGGGCAGGCTACCACTGCATGCTACGGGCTGGGGGCTGTGCTGGCCTCTTCCCGGCCGGTGGGGCTGGGCCTGGGCTACGTTTGTGGTGGGTGGGGACAGGGTGGGCGGTGGTGGCACTGGAAGCGGGGGCTACAGCCACCTCAAAATTCACTGTAGCTCTCCTCTTAGCGCTGCTGCCACCTGCCCCACCCCACCCAGCCCAAGTGCAGTCCAGGTCCAGCCCCCACACTGAGAAAAGCCTGGTACAGCCCCCTAGCCCCAAGTGCACAGTGGCAGCCTGCCTTTGCCCTGTACACAGGTCCGGGGGGCATGTGCCCCCCATGCTTCCCCCGGAGCTGCACACAGCAGGGGGACCACCCTCCACCTCCCAACCCCCCTGCACCACCAGATGAGCCACAACTCCATCTTACTCCCTGCCCTAGCTGTCCAGCACCTGCCTCAGCCCCAGCCCCACTCCCTTCCTTGCCACAGGGCCCTCAACCTGCCCCCCAATGCCCCTTCCCCCCTACAGACTTACCAGCTGGATGGTGACCTCCATGCTGCTGAGCTGTGTTCTTGGCTACGTTCATGCATGTGACATTTATCGGCGACAATATTGGCCACATCAACCACAAAAAGCTGATTGCCAATAATGTCAATTTTCCTTTTATCAGTACAGTTACAATATGGACTGATGTATTGGTACACCTCTAATAAATGCATAACATTAGTGTTTTGCACAGCATAGTACATTATCATTTTAGAAAGGGATTTTTTAAAGATAGTTAACTCCCTTGGGTTTCTTTGAATATGTCAGCCATAAAAGTGCTAGGCACTGTACAACAGGAAAAAATACCTCTTGTCCCAGTCAATTTAAATGACTGATGTTTATGAACTCATAGGTGCTTGTGCTTCTGTGGTGGATGAAGAGCTGCTTATGTATGTAGTTTTGTGGAGTAGTTTGGAATCAGTTTTCATGAAAGGCAGGTCACATACACAGGCAAGCAATCATTGTAACTTAGTTCTAAAGTGACATTTATTTGTCTTTAGTTTAACTTAGCCTGCATCCCCATGAGAGCGCATGTGCAGTTTGCAGTGCTGCAGGCCTGTTTGCGGCACTGCAAACCACATGCGCTGCACCTTCAGGCATTCACCATGCTGTTAATTTGCAGCATGGTGGGGGTTACCTGGAGATCCTGGTATCAAAAAAAAATGTGCCAGAAAAAAGTGAGGTGGCCCATGCACCCAGATCACTGCTGCTGGAGCCCTGGGAGGTCCCCAGGACTCCAGGTAAGGCTGCTGAGGTCAGCTTAGGTGCTGGTGCCAGCCTCCTGTACCCCACCTTGGGTAACTTGCCTTGTGCTAGAGCACACATTCAGGAGCCTTCCCTGTGGACAACTAACCGTGGCACAAATATGTGCTGCTGCTAGTTATCCCCGAGGAACACATGCTTCCACTTGTGGAGACACACCCCATGTGTGCTTCCACCAAGATTATCATAGCCCTTCTTTTTTATACAAGACATACACACTATATGAATATCTATGTCTGATACATTAATATCTACTTTTTATCACACTGCTTTTTTTCAAGAGAAGCAGTTTCCTATGTAATATCTAATTTCCTTCTCTCTTTCTTTTTATTAAACAGTTTATGAAGAACCAGAAGACCCCAGTAATAGATCATTTTTTTCAGAAATTATCTCCTCTGTGTCAGATGTCAAATTCAGTCATAGTGGCAGATACATGCTGACAAGGGATTACCTCACTGTCAAAGTTTGGGATCTGAATATGGAAACAAAGCCTGTAGAAACATACCAAGTAAGTGTTTGCTGTATCTGTAAGAATATCTCAATATTTCAAATCCTAAAATTGCACTACAGTTCTTCAATTGTTGTTCTTAATGAGGTGGTTGCTGAATGAAAGCTTAAGATAATTTAAGAACAACATAGTAGATGCCACTAAGATGAGCAATGAAGGGACAGTTTCAGCACTGGTAAGGGAGTTTAACTGTTTTGGAGTCAATGGCTACACTTAGTTCTTAAATTAATACCTACAGTGAGGAGGATCATCTCTTCAATTCTGTATCACAATCTTACCATGACATTCCACGACTAATAGATATAATAAACATGGAAGGCAGGATTTTCAACACTTCCTGGCATTTGGCTTAACTCTGCTCCTATTACTTCCACTCTGGCTAGCAGAAGCAGAATTAAGTGAATACTGAGTGCTTTAGAAAATCATACCCTTACATTCCACCTATAGTACTGAACTAGCCTGAACCCAAAAGAAATACTTATTAAATCATAATGCTATCATCACTATAAAACTTAGACTAATACCAGGCAAGCACATTTGGTCTGATCAAATTCACCATCAGAGTACGCAGGCACTATTTCACTGGCTTTAGCTACTTGCGAATTTGTGCCCCGGAGTCTCTGCCATTTGACAAAAATGGTCTGAGCATAGCATTTTTATGCTCCATCAGAATGGGCAACGTGTATCCATAATACCTAAGAAATACCCATTGTATTATAAAAATACAGTGGAAAAAGCTGTTAAGGAATATTCGACAGAAACACATAGGAACCTTTTAAAGTATTATTTGGCTGGAGTCCTGCAGGGATGTTGGACTTGAGAACTGTATATATACAGCGTGTCTCGTACACTATACATCAATGAAGATAAGGTACAATATTTCCGGTCTTGTGGTAGGGTTTTTAAAAAAATACTTATTTAACAGCACTGCCTGTAATATTTGATACAAGTTCAATAGCTTGACTTAGAAGAGCTATTGTCAAGGCATTAATAACATTTTGGATCTTTATTATATTTAACTGGACAGAAGACAAGTAGGCACTCCTTTTCCTGGAATACATCCCGTGACATTTCATTGTGACTGAATCTCCTACAAGCCTTTGAAAATCTTCACCTGTATTTCTATAAAACCACCACATTGGCTTTCTTCAGTAATGTGACTGGTGTCATACTGAAATGTGTAAGGGATTTTAGTGCTTACAAGAAACATGGTAAAAACAAAACTGTACTTGGTATGTTGCACCTATGCCTAACATTTTAGGCTCAGGCGATGTACTATTTTGCATTTATGCTAATACAGTAAGCATCTTTGTCCCTGGAGGGAAATGGCTGGTCAATCCAACCTGTTTATTTTGACTCTGGCATCTGCTTTTATTTCCTCCTGTAGGAAGCTCTGAAATAAGCTGGCTAGTCTAAAATCAGTCTGACATTTAGCAGTGGGGCCAATTAAAAAGTTACATTTCTCTGTGGTGAGATAGGGAAAATAAGTAAAATGTAATTGTTCCAGCATTGATAGCAGTAATCAGAAGTTTATAAAAAGGCTGACAAAATAAACCCAAGGTTTTGCTGCTGTCCATTAACCCCTGAATTGACTTTTCTTTTCAAACACTTTGCTTTTCAACATCCTGTAAGGAATGTACTGATGCCCTTGATATAAATAAATGTCTTGCAGCTGACAAAACATCAGCAAAAATGGTGTTCTGCTTTAAAAAAATATGTTTTCTCTTATCAAGTTTTTGACTTGTACAAAATAAACACAGTGCACACAAAACAGACACAAATTAATACAGATATGTTAATTTACACTTCAAGATATAGTCAAATGGTATTGACAAAGAACAGAATACAAAAGGAAGTCTACATACAGAGAAATGAAACATAAGATGAACAAAAACGTGAGAAAAATCTGAGTTCCATCCTTTTACTCTAATGCATATAAACCATTTTTATTGTACTAAACATAATCAGGTTCCTTTAAATATTGGTGGTTTTGCATAAAGGATACTTGTTTTGTTTTGTCAATCTACTGAATCAATTTCTACATTAATATTATTTTATGTCCATTTTTTCTGTATGCAAAAAAAAAAAAAAATATATATATATATTTTATCCTAGGTAACGTTACAGGGAGCAATTGTAAACGTTTGTTCTTGATAACAGGGACATATGAACAATAAGTAACTAAAGGTCAAGGGCAGTTTTATTCTCATATAATGAACATTATCCATCACTGGCCCTGATATTGTTCAGTGTTATAGTATACAGAACAAGATGGTATTTTCAACTACTCTCTTTAGTGTTTCTCATAATAGCACTACTGTTTGCTTTAACAATTACAATGTTCACAACTAACAGGATATACAGGCTTCAAGTGCAGCCTGTGCAGGAGCCTGGTTTCTCCTAATATTTTGTTAATAAATTAAGTCAGAACAATATTCTTCCCTTCATTTTCTTTTCCAATTGCTCTTTAATTGCTGGGAAGACTGCACATAAGGATTTAAGTGCATGTCATGCAGCCCAGCCCCCAGGCTCCTGCTGTGTCTAGAGGTGGCCGCTAAAAGGCATCAGGTGTCTGGAATCCACAGGCACTTGCAGTAGCAGCAGGGAGGGAACCCTGAGCATCTCCAAGAGGCAGCTGCACTAACCAGCCTTAAATAACTCTCACAATGAGTTCACTAAGTTTTGCTGGCTTATAGCCACATCTTATTCTCTCCTTAATAATACCATTTTTATTTTTCTTCCTACCTCTACGTTTATGCTCTACACCTCCTTTCTGTATTTTGTTCTGATGAAGCCTAACTCTTTTTCCACCACTTTGCCTCCCTTCCTCTGCTTCTGCAGCTTACCTATATAACCTCTGTCTCTCTCTTTCACTCTCACATACATCTCTGAACTGTGTTATTAAACAATATAGCATCCTTCTCTTGTCACTCTTTTCCTTCATATCCTATATCCCCTTCCCTCCTTTGGGCTTGTCATTATTATATTGCTGTATATCTAAATTTAGACAGCAAAGTGCTATGTCACCTCAAATGTATATATTTTGGAGGTTAGATAAGATTGTTTCAGAGAATCCTATGAATAAGTCATAGCAGCTAAATGCCATAAACTTGCAGGAAAAGTCAAGTTTTATAATTGGTCCACTAACAGTATTTAGAAATTCCGATTTCTCATGCAAGTTTTCTCATGTTTCATCTAGTCTGACATCAGAAGAAAACTACTGTAGCTCCTATAGCATTTAAATATTTAAATATATATTTTTCTGTTTCTGGCAGAGATCCACCAAATTTTCCTTCTATGTATTGTACATAATAGAAGGGGGAAAGCCAGTATAGTATACTGGACAATATTTACTACCAGTGTAGAAAAACAAAAATTATTTCTATTTGCAAAGTGGTGGAAACAAATATTCCAATAACTATGATACTTCTCAAGCAAATCTGTCTACTGGGTCTTCATTATGGTGATATTATGCCACAATAGCAAAACCAATCAAGTCCATCTTGGCTAAGTCTAACAACATTTGTAGCTAGTGTTAGATTTACCCAAGGTGGACCAGGTCTGTAGGACAGAGGTTGAGATTAATGTGTCATTTATCTTCACAATTCCTGACTATTTGCCCCCAAATAGTAGCTGCCCTCACATACTCAGGGAGTTGGAAGGGGCTTCAAGCATCTTTTAATTGAACCCCTATATTCATATGATTGTGTTGACCCTGAGCAGAATGCTTGGATGATTCTGGTAAAGTGTTACATAACAGAGTAATGTGATTCTATAAAGGAAATTGCTGGTGGCAACTTCTGTGGAAACTAGAAAATGTTTTCATATATGGATAACAAAAATATAATCTAATTTTATCATCATTCAATATAGCGTGGGCTTGCATCTTTATCTCAAGAATTCATCAAGCTCTATCCACTTACATGGGATCAATAATAATAAAAAGCCTAAGTGTATAAATGGCAGGGCTTTTATAGTTTGTGGTAAGTCTGTTGGAGGGGAGGGAGAGTGTGTTTGCTACACTAATTACAGAGTATCCCCTAAAAATAATTTTCTAAATTACCTCCATTTTACCCTCTAATAATATTTTACTGAGCTACCCAACCCCCTTGTAGGCTGATGCAGAGACTCCCAAAACTCTTAAGAAGAGGCAACCCTCTGCTATTAGCGTATGCTCCCCTCCACAACAGGTCTGTTGACTGAAACAGGGGTGGATGAGGTCATTGGCTGGACTCCTCACCAAGCCTACTCTGCTCCCTTTGTAGAAGCAAGTCCTAGCAAGATGCTCCGTAACGCTGGTGCATGGCTGCCTCTGCTACACTGTTCAGTTCCCTGATACCAGTGAATGCTAGTCTGCGTACCTGACACAGTCCCAAACCTGTCACTCTTGTGAACAGGAGATGACCATGAAAACAAGGCAGAAGTTCAAATGTCATCAGTGTTAACTTTCATAATCACCCTGGAGGCTTCATTGTGGGCAAGAGTGAAAGCAAAATTCAAAATTGAAATCCAGCAAATAAATGCAGACACTAATGAATGAATGAATGCCTGTAGACAAGGAAGCAGGGCTGTAAAAAGAAGGAGTTGAGAGCTTCAAAAAATCAAAAGGAGTAATGAAGGTAGAAAAAAACCTAAGTAGAAAAAGAAGTAGAAGATAAAGTAGAAGAAACACAGTACGGACTGATTGAGTCCTCTCAAAGGCCATGTGACCCTGTCACCACCAGAGAGAGCTCCATCCTCCTACCATAGCTGCCAGCACTTGGCAGCTATTTTTGAAGCCAGATCCAGCTGCCAGCGCTTGGTAGCCATCTTTAAAACATAGCCCCGTTCTGTGCACATTTTTTTGCTTTTACTTTCCAAGATTAAGAGGAGCAGCATGGCATGTGCAGAGGCAGCACATGGCAGCTGTGTTTGCGTCCCCTTTGCGTCTCTGCACTATGGCTGCCCCAGCTCCTGGCAGTGAGGAACAGGTTCCTTTGATCTTGCTAGCCCCCTCGCTGATCCTGCTGGCCTGCCGCGCTCATTCTCACCTGTCCCATGGCCGTCTCACTCTGCCAGACTCCCCCACATGCAGTGACTGCCTGTCTGCCTGCCGCGTGCCCACCAAAGGCCCCTGCTGCCACCAGTGACGCTGACAAGGGGCTCCAGGAGGCCACAGCCAGGGCTGCTGTTGCTTTCCCGCTCTCTGCAGGCATTTTGCACTGGGAGTGGAGGACAAAAGACCCTTATTATCTAATAAAATATCTTAACATAAATAATAACTTGTAACAAATATAGGTATGGCTAAATCACCCGAGATCTGAGAAACATTTAAGGACCACCTCCAGTTTCTGTAGAGGAAATGCTGTTATGAATGCTAGGAAGGCAGAAACATCTCATTGGGGGGGGGGGTATGAGAAGTATGCATGTTTACACATGCACCATGAGGTAAATACAGTTAACTAAGAATCAGTTTACCCACGTCTCCCATTTGCTTATTAGCCGTTAAGTAAGTAGCATGTTCAGCTGACAGGATCTGTTTGCTGATATATAGCCTAGGAGGCTCATTCATCAAATTCTGAAACAATGATCCATGACGGAAATGTATAGTCCATAACAAATTTTAAGTTAATTTACAGATTTATTTGGTGCCGTAGACATTGCAGATGTTGCAGAGATTTTTATATGAACTAAAACTTCAAGGAAGTAACCAGACAGAGCAGAATAAATTACCACGTTGAAGGGAATTCCAAGACCTAAGCCAGCAGAGGATACTGAGCGGGCCACAGTCAAGAGAGCCAAATTCAGCTCTTGAATACACAGGTGCAGCTTCCAGGGACTTCAAAGGAAGTGATACCTCCTTATGCCAGTACTAAATTTGGTCCCCAGGCAGTTGTATTCATATGGTGCTGATAAAAAATAATATGGGCTCCTCAGAGGTCATCCGTGCAACATTAGTATCTGAAGTAGTTGTTTTTCAGTTCCTGGCTAGCGATCAAACATGCTGTATCAGCCACTAGAAAACAAGGAATGTGAAATGGATTACCAGGCCTTGTATACACAAGAATTCCCAGGCTCATTATTTTATTATGGTGTGAAACAAATGAGATTGACTTTAAAGAATCCAATTCAGTAGAGGAATGATAGTGTCCTTCATATACATTATTTTACAGTAACTCTCACCCACTTCCAATATGCAACCTAAAATGAGATTTTCCAGAGTATGCAACATATGTTGTTGGTTTTTGTTATCAAATCTCACATTTTATCATTGATATGAAATAGCCATGAACTAAGATAGTGTTTTGAGCATTAGCCTATGAAAATTAGGCTCCATACATCTCTATACATCTTCCGGCATTTTGCTACTGACCTGCTGTTGCTAGCACTGGCATGTATTATACTTTTTCTAAGTGGGGCAGGTATCTCTCTCAAAGCCTTTTACTATAATTAAATAGGAGTCCATATAGATTTTTATACAGTTTTTAGATTTTAGATATTAGAGTTTTATACCGTTACTATTTAAAATAGATAATTTAGTTTAGATTAATTTAAACACTGATTATCACATACGTTGTATCAGCTACCCAATGTCTTTTGAAATAGGGCTACAGTTAAAAAAAAATGGACAGGAACAAAGCACATTTGAAAGGGGTGATCTAAAGCAGGGGTAGGAAGGCATGCTCTAGACTGAGGTTTCCTGCTATGTTGCCTTATATAATTGCATACTATGTGTACCTCCCCACACAATCAGCCCTCCTAATTGGGGGCGCATGTCTGATTTTTCTTCACTGGAATAAAAGCATGCAGACACTGTGTTCTAATGGCTGTCAAGATGGCTGTCATTGTTTCTGGTCCCAGCATGTAGAAGGGGAGGAGTCCTGCGTTAATCCCCTGGCAGCCATAGCTGTTGGCTGAGCATTGTACCTTGTGCCTGAATGAGCAATCAAGCTATTTCAGGGCAAGTGAGCTGCTGCATGCTGTCTGTAGTATCTTGATGGGGCTTTTGGTGTGGAAACAGCACTTTATTACTTACAGGAACTTGTATAAACAACTATTTACAGTAAAGAAGTAGTGGTCTTGCTACTGCCCTTGCAGGGGACTGGGGCCTAGCCATGTTGTTCTCTTGTGACACCGGGAAGTTCCTGCTGTCTCACCTAGACTGTCTCCTAGGATGCCACGCTTCCTGGAGTAAGTCCAGGAGGAGTTGCTCTGTCACACAGTCCGCAATGACTGTGGAAAAAATATTTTTTTCTACATTATGCTTTCCAAAAACAAGATGTGTGTCTTATTTGGGGATGTGTGGCATGCAAGAAAATCTGGTAATTTTACAGCATTCTTCAAATTGAACTAGGGAAAGTACAAACTTTACTTTAAAAGATGGAAGGATACCACCTTTGTAAAAGCTACCAACCCATTAAGGTAATACAATAGGACATTTCAAATGTGTGGGCTTTTTAAGTAACTGCTCTATCATTTTCTGTAAAACAGGTCCATGATTACCTTAGGAGCAAGCTGTGTTCCCTTTATGAAAATGACTGCATCTTTGACAAGTTTGAATGTGCGTGGAATGGATCAGACAGGTAATCCATCCTTATCTCCATTACTATTTTAATTTAGCAGAGAAATTGCCATGTAGTGGGGTATAACCAGTAAATCTTGTGGCTGTTTTGCATATCAGGTCATGAGCATCTAGGTTTTAAAGGTGTTTGTATGTTAATGGTATTCTAATCTAAACTAGTTATTTAAGCATTAGTTCTCTTTGTTCTTTATGAATTATTATTTCTTATCTCACAGCTGAGAAAAATCAAAATTCCATCTATTTTTCCCAAAAGCAGGAAATGGGTTTGAAGAATAAAAAAGATTGCTTACTAAAAATGATTTGCACATCCCATTGAAGTGTGGGGTTTGCTAGAGCTATTGCATGCTCAGACAAGTTAAACTGGCTTCTTCACAAATCCAATTTAGCAACTGGAAATGAGGAGGGGAAAAGAACCAGAAGCAGGTGACCAGCCAATTCTTTGTAGACCACTGCCCACAACTTGTGAAGGACTATTCAAATTAAATATGAATGTTTTTTGGGAACTTTAATGAAGGGGACAAAATCATCTCATTTGCACCAGTGTAACACATTAGGCTTCAGCTTCATACTGGGATAACAGAGTAGATTGGGCCCATAACTCAGTTCCACATTATAAAAGTTGATCTGCAGTTTTACCAAGTTAACATAATCTATACCACAGTCTATGTCATAACATCTGAGGACAGGTTAATTTTTCTAAGCACTCTGCCATCCCTTGAACAGAATTCCCGTTGTCATAAATGGCAGTTAGTAGGACATCTGTGATATGTGAGCTCCATCACCCATGTTACTGCAGTGCATCAGATCATACGTTCAAACCTCAGTACGAATTTCTGTTTCATACGCATAAAATAACCTATAATAGCTCTTTTGGATACAGCTTTTACGTACGATAGTCATTTTAGCTAGGTTCTTCTTCTCTTCCTCTAAGTTCTCTGATCGATGGCAGCTATTCTTTACACAACAGTCCATTCCCTAAGCTCTGTAAGTAGGGAAGTGTTTCCCAGTTCTACAAGTATACTGACCTGGGCAATTCATGGAAGTCCCAAGAAAATTTTGGAAAGAAAAAGCAAGAAAATGAGTCACACCAGCCTCTCAGTGTAAAAGTGATTAATTCAGTCTAGCTTTGATGATCAGACAAAGGAGGCTGCAAAGTCAATGCCTTTGACAGGCTGTACCACAGTTAAAAATATTATGATGGGAATTTCCACTGGCTGCCCTTCAGCACTGGGTAAGTTCTCCTGTTGTCAGGACTGCTGACCGGTAAAATGATATAAAGGCACTGTACTGGGGGCAGTCCTTCTCAGACTCAGTATGTTGTGGCAATTAGGGATTAGGCTTTCCAAGGCCAGAGCTCACCGAAAAATCTCAATGCCGGTGAAAACTCATGCTGGTGAGCAAGAATTTATCATGTTTGGCCACTGGGGTATAGGCATCTGGTTTTGGGATGCTTTTCTGAACCCTTCAAACCCTTAAAGTGTGGATGGAGAGCTCAGCACAGGCTCTTTCAGGAAATACGTAGTGATTCTGGCTTGTAGTCCTTCTGGAAATACCAAAAGAGAACATCTTCGGAATAGTGACACTTCTGCTCCCTACCTGAACCTGGGAGTGTATAAGTCTTTAGGGAAAAGGGCCTTACTCAGATATATTAAAATCTTCCCAAAGATTCAGGAGGTTTTTAGTACTTTCAAAACCAATTCCAAGATGTTTTGCTGGTAGATACCTGATACTCCCTTCAGTAGTTGAATAAAACCTTCTCATCAAAGTATCACATGCTACTGGATAACTGCATGTTAATAATAGAAGGATTGTTCGGTATCAGGGTTTAAAATGAATGTAATGGTTTTAATCTAATTCCCACTTGACAGATCAGAAAGATCAACATAGTGTGAAATCAACTGGTCCTCATTAAGTGGGAGCATTCCGTTTTTAAAGGTTTAATTTATTGTGCTGCCTATATGTGGGAGGATAGTTAGTCTTGCACAATGACTGAATCCTTCACTAAACACAACGCACCTCTCTTTAAAATGGATAAACTACCACTCGATCTTCAATTGAGGAGTACCACTTTTGGCCAGACATTTGGCAAAAGGCACTTATTTTTAGTTGAGTATATTATTATTTGTCTTTCAAATTTGCCTTTAGCAATCAGAACGAGAATTAAATACATCCGTACTAATTTTCATCTTCAGAGCAGGTGACACTAGCACTGATGCTTCTTCACAGGGAAACTTGATCATGCTCAGAGAAGTGGCAAGTATTTTTGTGTTCGAGACAAGGAATTTTTATGAGGTGTAATTCAATTGGTTGTGTAGTAATTTTTTTTTTAAAGGAAGAATTCCCATCTTTAAAAAAATAAGAATACAGCTCTTAATATTAAGGTCAGATAGCCTGGTTCTTAATAATAGATATATTTTAAATACAGAATAATTGCAAAGGGTAAAAAATGCCTATGATGTCATCCATAGTATGATATTTGTATTAATAAAAATACTTTAAAACATAATCATGATAGTTTCTTAACGTGTTATGTGCCCTAAAACTAGATTGGCATTTTAAGTAAAACATTAGAATCATACTTGCCAGCATTTAAAAATAGAAACATGATCGTTATTATTTTAAATTAGTTTTTATCACAATTAAGGAGTTAATTCAGGATGATGATAGAACCCTATGGTTGAAGCTGTTTATAAAAATCAATGTACACAAGCTCTGATTAGAACGTGATTGATGCTCAGTAACTCCAATGAACAGGAACTAATACAATCAGACAGAGCCAATCTCATTTGCTGAAGGGCACATTAATCATTATGTAGCTGGGCAAGAACAGTGGTCAGAGGAGGAGTAAAGAGAGAATCTTACAAATAATGCAACCAACTGAAGTTATTATGTTTCCTTGACTATTAAACTGTGTCACATATCATATACATTTTCATGATAATGTGACTAGATGGAATTTGCAAACTCTATTATATAGCTGTTTTATTTAAAGACTTCAGAGTACAAATGCATGGAAAAATCAACTAATGATCTGCATGAGACTGTCTCCTTTCCACTGCCAACAAAGCAGGAAAAATATGTACAAGTTATTTCTACTATTCTGCTGCAAAAGTCCTCAAATTAACATGGATTGAGCATCTTACTGTGAATTACAGGAGGAGGTCAGGTAAAACCCGTGACTGTATACATTAATACCTTAAAAAATAAAATAAAATAAAATAAAAATTAAAGCTAAGGGGAAGACCTTCAAGGAAGGCTTTTGGATACAACTCTGACAAGGACCTTGTAAGTAGATAAATGAAGTCATATACAACTGCTGAGGTCCTTGCATTTGACATGAGCCCTTGCTGTTGGCCATAGCCTTCTACTATATCATCCAGTCAGCTTCTTGACTCCACTCTAATCCTGCAAAATTTGCAAGTCCCAGTGGGCCAAATATCAAATGAGCCTACTCTCGCCTTGTTAAAGACTTAAGTGTACATTTTTGTACAGCAGTCATGTACAACAGGGGTGGGTTGACACTATTCAGCACCATATGACAAGTTTGATTTGTCATATTAACTTTTATTTCTAAAGAAGTTTGTCAGGCTTCCTGGTTCCTCATTCCCCATCCTACACATGCTAGAGCTTCTGAATTATTTTGCAGTGTTTGTCCCCCAACATTGCTTCTGATGCCCCTGAGGTCTGAAGCAGTGCATCCTCTTTGATTTCCAGTCAGGAAGCTTTTTGTTGCAGTTCCTGTCAATCAGTCTCCAAACTTCCCAAAAAATGAACATACCACCATAGGGGAAAGTCATTTGCAAATGACTGGGTGTGTCTACATGAGATGCTTTACTATGCAGTAGTGTAGTTTACTGTGCAGTATGCATGTGTGTCTACACGTGCACATGCTTACTGCACAAGAAACCTCACTAATCACAAGTAAATTTCCTACCTGCAAATGCAAGTAGCAAATTTACTTGTGATTACTAATTGTGCAGTAGCACTTGTGTAGATGCCTGACCAGAAGCAAGTCTGTGGGGACTATGTCCCCCTGCCCTGACAGCAGGAAGCTCCAAGCCCCCCACTCTGAGATCACAATCAGAGAGCTGGGGATGGAAAATCCTTATCTCTCAGCCCCTGCTTCATCATTATCTCTCAGCCCCTGATTCACCATCATGATCCTTATTTCCCAGTGCCAGGTTTGCAGTCGCAGGGCCAGCTCTGGGAATTCCTTATCTCCCAGCCTGATCTTCATGGTCACAGCACCGAAGCTCCCGATCTGTTCATGGAGCTGAGTGGGGATCATGCTCCACAGGCTCTGCCCCACAATTGTGAAACGGGTGCTGGGAACTGTTCTGGTCAGGGGCAGATCCCAGCCCTGTCCCCTGATCAGGTGTTAGAGGCACAGAGCTTGAAAAAAGCTGCAGGGGTGGGGTAGGTCCCAGCCCCATGCCCTGAACCACTAGTGGGGCAGCTAGCTATCTGCTAGCTGCCCCACCAGTGGATCAGGGCAGGGCCAGGGACCTGCCCCTCCTTGCAGCAAGTAGCCCCCCTGGGGGCAGGGGGCAGTGTCCCAGCCCTGGCCAGGAGACAACTGTTTTCCAGCCCAGTGCTCCCTGCCAGCCCCTAGGCTAACACCCAAGTGGAGCCTAGAACTCCGCCAGGGGAAGCAGGGGCTCATTGCAGGGTCCCGGGAAGTGGGAGTAAACTGCTCCTGGATTTAATGCATGTGTAGAAACACCCACTGCCTCCTTCCTTTGTCCTAGAAAATGTTCATTTCCAAAGAACAGGTATTTGGAGAGTCTTTTGCTGAATATTTTCCTTTCTTCTAGTAAGATACATTTGCCATGATGACAGCCTCCACCTGAGCCTGCCATGGCCTAGAACAGGGGTGTCAAACTCACCTCCCTGCAAAGCCAGATTCGGACCGCAGGGCTTTTTACAGGCCAGAGCTGAACCTGACATTGTGACAAACAGCAGCCATGCAAGTAGCACTATGTCAGCACAGTTCTCACTCTC